AGGGAGTTGAATATCTAGCCCTAATACCTAGAGAACAATGTGGTGAGTGTGGGTGAGGGGTGTCATTCATGTCCTTACACTGACACTGTATGTACGTTGTTAACAAGGGGAGGGGCATGGGTAGCACATGTGAGTATCTAGGTGTCAGCGCTGCTGATTTTCCAGCTGACTGGACCATCCATACAGTGCTGTTATCAGATCCGCTGGACAGCTCATCTCCATCCCACACAGCGGGATAGGTTTCAGCACTAGTCCAGCACACAGCACACACAACGCCTCCACCTCCTCACAGACACAGAGCTTGCACTGGCAGAGATTTGTTGTCCTCTGGGCTGTGTCAGGGGCCAAGCTCTCTCTAGAGGTCCAGGGGAGTGTCTTTCTCCAGCCATGCTCCTGCCTCTGCATATTCATGGATGTTGGCAGCAGGGCTCCTGAGTCCGCAGTTCATCTGTGTTATTCTCCTTCCTCCTTCCTATAAGGCAGGAACTTACGTTGTCCTCTTCTATAAGTTTATGTGAACATTATAGTGTTTGTATTTGGGGTCAATTGAAATGGTGACTGTGTTCATGTTTCTTGTTTTTATTTTGGGCTGTGAGTCTAGCCTTTAACGGCTGAGCCATCTCTCCAGCCCATGTTTCTTGTTTTTAAAAGGGGTTCCTTATTCTTGTTTTTAAATCTTCTTCTGCAGTCATTTGTGGACAAGCCACTCTCTCTGCCTTGATTTCCGTGGTTGACTATGAGAACATCAGCTGGCAGCATTTCACTGGGTCTGTTACAGAACTTTCTGTTCTGTTCCATGTGTCCTGTCTCCATTACTTCCCTATAGCCCTTTGTGGATCTTTGAGACTTGGTGGGAAGTCCTGAAGAAGAAGATGATGGTCTGCAGGAATCTCTCCTGTCCTCTGGCCTCTCTTCTAGGTTTAGGTCCTGTTGGTTTTTACATCTTGTGTTTGAGCATCAGACTGGAATTTGCTGAGTGTATAGATGAAGTGCAAACATCTGTTACCTTTAGAATAACAGCTGGTAGAACCTGAGAGCTCATATAGCTTCAGATTTCCCTCCTCCAGGGGTCAAACATTCTGAATGCCAGTTTAGAGAAATTATGTTGTTATTCTAATTTAGTGCGTCAGTATTTGTTTGAAAATTGTCTCTGCCTAATACCAGTGAAAGATGGGCCGAGGGTATGACCTCAAGTTCTCCTTCTTCATGTTAGTGGAGGCCTGGGACAGGTGGTTAATGGATACTGCCCTTCTCATGTATCCACTCAAGAGTTCAGGAAAGGAAGCACATTTAATTCCCAAGGCTCCTCTGACCTCTGTACATGGTCAGACAGGTTTTCTGGATTAACTGTGAAGACACAGAGTCATATGTGAATTTCCAAACTGTCAAAATGCATAGGGGTCTAAGTTGGGCTAGGCTTCACCAGTAAGTACCCAAGTGGAGGCTTTCACAAGGGGCCACTCCTGTAGATTCCATAGTTCTTGTTGTTAATTTGGAGTCCTTGTCTGTAGTTGGATGGTGGAAGAGAAACCATGTCATTGTCCTCCACAGCATGTCATCCTGTTGCTGTGTGGAATCTCTGAGTTTCTCTGGAGCTCCGACAATGCCATGCTGGTCTGCAAAGTAGGGGAGGTGAGAGGTGCTCTTTTCCCTCCATGTCACTCATGGTAAGTGTGCACATACTCAGGTCAGGAATTCTTGGGTTCCAAGACTAGGGATATGGCCAGGCACCTATGAGAAAATGCTTCTGTTAAATCAAAGATGAG